TGACCATATGGTTTTTATTATGTCCTGATACGTAAAACCATAGAACTCAAAGAGGGTGTACTTTCTTTTTCACGTGACTGTAGTTAAGATGAAAGAGAATCCTCACCTCCTGAGTGGTCAGTATCCGCCTCCACTGGCCATGGCTGTTCGTGGCTCAGATGTGGAAAGTCCTCCTTCAACACGCCATTGCTGTAGGGCACCCTGTTTTCCGTTGGCATGGAGGAAGGTGGCTTCTGGCTTGACACTGACTTGTTCTCTGAGTCTTTGATGGTGGACATGTTCAACAGATCCAGGTGTTGTCCCAAAGGTGGAGATGAAGCACTTTTCAGGAGATCCTCAGCACTAGCCCCATCTTCTGAGGTGCAGGCACTGCACCCAGAATCTTCCATCACCATGTGACCATCATCAAATTCCTCTTCGTGGTTAGTAGCCGCTGTCAGATTGCCAGCAGACCGCACCATAGGACAACTGGAGTCTCTGAGCCGGCTGTGACTTAGGTTGACCAGTCGGCCATGTGTCAAATGACTTGAATACGTAGCATGACGGTTGACATTCTCCTCCAGTAGGGGAGACAGTTCTACAGTTGCAACCTTCTCGCTCACACATTCACCTCCTTGGCTGGATTCTGCCTGGCCAACAGCTCCAGTGGACACCTTCTCCCGAGGACTATCCACCCGGCTTGCTATTTGGCATATTCTCTCTGACATGTCACTGACCGACCCAGATAATACTTCCTCAGTGGCTGCCCGGATGACATTGGAAATTATGTGTATGGCTACCTGTTCAATCTTCTCTACTTCTTGTTTGTCTAAGCTAATGGCTCCTATCCTCTCTTTTTCCAGACCACCCTTATACCCAACTTCTCTGAATCCATGGTGCTTCAATATACTACCAGTCTTTGAACTGGACGTCATTCCTTCCTCAACCGCCTCTGATCTACCAGGTTCTACGTACTTGGTCAGTGTTCCAACCAGAGTCTCCACTTCACCACTGTTACCATCACTCCCTTCTTCCATTTCAGCAGTATCCATAGGGATCTCATCCGGAACTTCTTCAGTTATCTTTTTGGAGCAAGTCATGGGCAAAGAATCCACAGAGGTGGGTGGAGGGCACTGGTCTTCTTTCAAAGACTTCTCCAATGAACTGATCTGGACCGCCACTTCTTTGAGAGTGTCCCCCAATTTTTCAGAACCAGGAGCTGCCAACGGCACTTGGTTTGCCACTTGAATGGAATCCGGCATCCCCTCGCTGGCTGTCTCACCAGTCTGGAAGCCATCAACTCCTCGTGCATCCAGAAGAGAGGTCTTAGATGAAGGGGATCCAAGCACACCTTGGGGCCCCATCACTTCCAGTTCTCCACTGTTGTCCTGAAGTGAGTCTGGTTTGAGGGTTGGTTTTGCCCCAACGGGCAGGTCTTCTCTTGATGTTTCAAAGCTTTGTGCTCTGTCTTCTGTCAGAGATACCTGCAGCTCTTGAAAGGGTGAATCACGATGCTGCCTGGCCTGCAGAGGTGGAGAAAATTCACTGTTCAACTGTCCAGCTTTCCAAGGGGTTGGTTCCCTCTGGAGAGAACACTTCTGGTGCTCTTCCAAGCCAGGAAGGTCTTGCCTGTCATGATTACTGACACGTTCCTTTTTACGCGAAGAAAACCACCACCAGCCAATGAGTGCCAGCACCCCGGGGATGGCGAAGGGCAGCAAGTTGCGGAAGCGCAGCGCCATTACACGCACCTCTGGAAATTAAATCTGGAAAAGAAGAGAAAGAAAGGGCTGTATAAAGACTTCAGTTGTCTAACAACGTTTAGAAAAGGTAGCTTTCCATATCCTATTCAAGATACACTTAAACAACAACAACAAAATGCATCACCATTCCCATTAAGAAGCTCATCTTTAAATTATGTCTTGATTCCTATCAATTCTGATAACCATAATAAAATCCATAGCCATTTGAAGGACTACTTAATTATATCCTGCTCTTCATCTAAAACCCATGTCTTCTTAAAACAAGCCACAGCTTAGCACGAGGTAGCAATCCAACTAAAATTGCAGATGACACAGAATGGGGGAGAGAAAGAGAGAGGCAACTAATACAGGTAGTCCTCATTTAGCTATCACATTTGGGACCAACAACTCAGTTGTGAAGTGAAGTGAAACCCGACTGTGCTTATGATCTCACTTCAGCTTTCCTTGGCTTTACGGACTTGCAAAGGTCGTCAATGTGAGGATTGGGCACAAAGTTACTTTTTCATCACCGTCATAACTGTGAACAGTTGCTAAATGGGGCAGTCACTAAACGAGGACTACCTGAAACCTAGAAGTCATATTCAAAATGATCTTGGTAAGTTAGAGAAATTGACTGAAAGTAACAAAATGAAATGTAAAGACAAATGTAAATTGTGTTAGGAAACAGAAATCAAAGGCACAGGGTTACTAAGCTTGGTACCAATACTTAGGGAAGAATAATTGATTGCAAACTGATCATAAGCTAGGAGCCTGATGAGACTAGTCAGAAGCAGCATCCAGAGAACCATCATTTCCAAATGATAGGAAATAATCATTTGACTGTTTTGCTTCCCACATTGTCCTATGCCCACTCCTGGGCTTTTCACTTAAAGGAGGATTTAGAGAAACTGGAACAGGTTCAGAGAAAGGAAATCAGGATGATCAGAGGATTATAAACTAAGTCATACGAGGAGAGTCAGACAGAAGTGGGTTTTATTTAACCTTGAGGAAAGGCTGAAGGAGAACACAATAGCTCTCTTCAAATACATGAAAGGATTTCACATCGGAGGTCCAGACCTTTTCTCTCATTCCAGAAAGTGGGAGGCGGGATTACAGATTTAAATTACAGGAAGTTAGAGAAAAAACTGAGCAGCAAAAATGACCCTGACAGAAGATGGGCTTCCCTTCACTGGATGTGTTCAGGGAGAGACTGAACAACACCTGTTGAGAATGCTTTATTATGGACTGCTGCATCGGAGGGGGGTTGGACTGAATGACCTCCAGGACCCCTGCCAAAAACCTTTGATTCCTCCTTCTATATGTAACAATCCTTCCCCTGCTTGAGACATTAAAAATTACAACTGGACAATAAATTTGGGGAAGCTCTGGGGGATACACTCACGGCTTTCAAACAGCACCCATTTCAAATCACCACATTCTCGTGCAGTTGTCACATGATCAAACACACGTACGAACTGGACACACAAACAGACTTCCCCTTGTAAGAACACATTCACAACTTCGCCATCTTGTGAGTGGCAAGCTAGCTACGTGCCAACATATCTTCAGAGGCTGTTGACCAGGATCACACCACTGTCACAGTACTAGAAGTTCCCCAGAAGCTAGATGGCTTGCAGTCAGAGAGCTGAGCTGCAGAATTTTTTTTAATGCCCAGAAAATGAACAAAAGCAGATTTTTTAAAAAGCTAATCCACATGCATGCAACAGTTGATATAATTAACAGAGAACAAAAAATAAACACAAACACCCCCCCAAGAATTAACATGTTAAATTGATATAAATCACCTAAATATATCACATAACAATACATCAAATTATGCATGAAGATTCCTGTCAAATATGAGGAAATTTAAACCAAAGGGAAGCACGCTGCATCATTATTTTGATTAGTAGGGAAATGGGCTATTTTTTTCTAGCTGAGCTGCAGAGGGTAAAAACCTGGTTCTTGCATCGTGAGAATCTCAAATTAGGGGTGGTGGAGGGAGTTCCTAGCCCCCAAGGCGAAGAGAATCGACTCTGAGGGTACATCCAAGAAGGGCAGTAGAGCAAAGGAGATTCAAAGGGGTAAAAACCATGCAGAGCGCCCACATCGGCGCCTCCTGAAATCAAGCACATCTTTTCTAGAATTGTACAGCAGTTCTACAAGCCTAAGACAAGACACAGCTTCTCTGGGGAGCACTGTCAGCCCTTCAAGGTAGACCAGACTAGGAAAGCAAAGTCATGCAGGCTAATTCTATGTTTATTATAGAGCAGTGTTGTCCAAACTTGGCCACTTTGAGATGAGTGGACTTCAACTCCCAGAATTCCCCATCCAGCATGGCT